CATTTTATGTTATTTGTATGTATATGATTTCAAAATTGATTACTTGTATTTTAATCATATTCACTTCTCATGACTCTGGTTTTCTTTTCTTTTTTTTTTCCCCTATTTTTATTTTGACAAAAACAGATTTATTAAAAACAGATCTTTTCAGACAATATATTCTGGTTATGTTTTCCCCTTCTTCAGCTCTTCCAAAATCCAGCCCACTTTCCTCCCTTCCAAATCCACACCCTTTCTAATTTTCATTAGAAAATTAACAGGCATCAAAAATAATAATAATATAAAACAAAGACAAATCAGAATAAGACAAGACCAACAGAAGAAAAAGAGCCCAAGCAACAGCACAAAAGATGCATATAGATGTGGAGACACACACAGGACTCCTATAAAAACACAAAACCATAAGCCATAATATATGTGCAAAGGACTTGTAAGGTAAACTCAGTAAATAAATAATAAATAAAAGTACAACCCATAAATAATAAGTAAATATAATAAAATATAATTTAAAAATTACTAAGCACTATGAAACATAGGCTTGTTCACTTAGTAATGCCTTATCACTTTAGGTCATTGTCTTTGTGGATTTCTGCAGTATTAGTTCTTCTTCTCTCACTTCACATAGAGTCCAGTGTTACTTTTCTTTCATTTGTCCAAACAGCTGTAAGCTCCATGGAGGCAGAGACAATGTCTACGGATTCTTTGTACACTGTCCTTCACAGTTTCCCATACATCATGAACAATGACTCTTTAATGAGTTTACTAGTTTTATAACTTAATGGCAAAGACCCAGACCAAAGCTATTAACTAATTCCCTCAAACAATAAAACATGAATGCATACTCTGTATCATATTAAATTGTATTTAAAATTTTACATATTTGATATGCCTTGCAAATAAAAAGTTAATATTTGCCTTCTGAAGTGTCCCATTGTGGTAAAAATTGTTATTTTTAAAATTTACTGTCTTAGCCAAACATATATTTTAAAACCCAGTTAAAACATTTGAAGTGGAAAGACTGTCTAGAATATATTAATATTTTGATAAAATAAAACTGAATGTAACCTTTTAATATGAAATAATTTTAAAGGAATAGCTTTTGAAATTTCAGAAACTTTGTTATGATTCACTTGGTAGATGATTCCTTAATTCATTTCGTCTTCCTTGTATTGTGGTTAGGACTTAACTGATCCTGACCTTAAGTTACACAGCTTACTAGATTTATAATCTTATACCCTTAACTCTCTATGCCCAATATTTTCTAAAGTAAGGATATTTTATAGTTTATTCCATAAGGCTCTTAAGAATGTATGCATTTGTGAATGAGTACATATATAATACATTTGTAACATTTGATATTAGTCAGCATTTAATGAGCAAGCATTTTATAAAGTTATCTTAAATATTATGAAACTAACAATTTTCTATTTGTGAAGATTATAATAGGATTTACTATAATTAAAACATTTGTTAAATGTTAAAATCTTATGATTTTCAAAGATTCGTTTTTATTATTATTAATTAGGTGTATTTGTGTATTCTGTGTGTGGATAAGTGCACATGTGGGCAGGTCCCCTTAGAACCAGAGGCATTGTATACGATGGGGCACTTGAGTAATGGGCAGTTGTGAGCCACTTGACATGAATGCTAGGAACCAAACTTAGGTGGTCCTCTGCAACAGTAGTACATGCTCTTCACCACTGAGCCATCCCTCCTGTCCCAGAAATGTTATATGTTAATAAGTTGAATAAAAAGTTAAAGAGAGGGTGGCCAGGCAGTGGTGGCGCACGCCTTTAATCCCATCACTCAAGATGCAGAGGCAGGCAGATCTCAAGGAGTTCAAGGCCAATCTGGTCTACAGAGTAAGTTTCAGGACAACCAGGGCTACAGAGAAATCTTGTTGCAAAATACCCTCCCACCAAAAAAAAAACTTTGAAATTACAGACCAAGACCATGGGGAAGGTCAGATAAACACCAGAAGGATATTATCAGTTCAAGTACAAAACCTTTGATATTATTACATTCCATAAAAGAAATATCATTTTGTTAAAATTGTTGAAGTTACATAGCAAATAGTGGGCATGGCTTTATTATATCTTAATGCTTAATAATTGAATAGTTGTCAATACCTAAAGGACTGGCTGATTAAAGAGAACAACCTGACTCAGGCCAATATGGATGCCTCTGTAAATCTCTTCCTGAACCTCTCTAAAAGGAACATGTTCCATCCTAGCCCCACAAACACCAGACATTCATACAGGGTACTTACCTACTTGGAGGCAAATATTCACACACATAAATAAAAATAAATATTTTAATTCCAAAAATTATATTCACATATGTATTTTCAGAATTTTTGTAAAAAAAAAAATAAAAGCTCATTTTAATCTGTATTGACTATAGACATTAATGACATGTAAACTATAAAAAAATATTAATAGTATCTGTTATAAATTCAAATCATACTCATAAAATCATGTAATGATTCTGGTAAGTGGGAAATAATTACACAGATGCTCAGATGTTGGACTTTGGTTTTAAACTCTAGTACATTATAGAAGCTGATGCAGGCTCAAAGTCCATGCACTCCATAGGATTCATTAAGGGCATATTTGGTTCCAATGATAGCCAAGCCTATTCTCCTGAGCAGTGGGGTATGGGCACAGGCAGGTCTGGAAGTGACTCTGACACTTGCTACATTAAGCTCAAACTAAAACTTCTACAACATCTTTCTGTAAAATTGATTGTAAGCCAAGTAGCCAAAGAATGGGTGAACTGACTCACCTACTACACCATTGGCACACAGTTAGTTTGTGTGTCACACTGAATTCACTTATAAGTGAATATGACTTTAACAAGAAAAAGAAAGGTAACATAGTTTTGTTCTTTTATTAAGGAAAAAAATAAGAATTCTTGTTCTCGACATATATGGAAGGTTAGGTAATTTCTCAACATTTTCAGTTTGCAAAAGATGATAATTGTCTAAAATGTATCAAATTTCTCCAGGTTCCAGGTTCTACAGATCACAAGATGTGGTATAATATACTTCTGTTCTCTTACTGAAATAAGAACCAATGGGTCCTTCATGAAGGCCTACCTACCACAATGTGGTTTGCAATGTGATTTCCCTACCACTAGTTCTAATCTCATAATGATTAAAGGGGCCTGGCACTCAAGAGTGTCACTCCATTGGAGAAAATTGATCTTCATTTGATAGCGGCAGGTAGAGATTGTAAATAGTTTCTTGGTTGGGATGGAACTTTGCATCTACCTCCTCTCCCTCCATGCTGGGATTTTGTCTTGTTTGAACTTGAGTACATGTCGATCATTGCTGTCACAGACACTGTGAGTCTCAATGTTTGTTCGGTCTGGAAGATGATGCTTCCCTGGACTCATCCATCTTATCTGGCTCTTACAATCTTGCCACTTAGTTTGATTTGGTTTACAACTATTTGTCTTGTTGTTTTTTATTTGTCTGTTTTGATTTTCATTTATTTTTGAAAGCAATAAAGAGCATGAAGTTGGGTGGATAGGGAGGGAGGTATGATCTAGAAGTTGAGCAAAGGGAAAAATATGATCAAAATACATTGCATGAAAAAAAATATAATGGTAAAATCGGTTAATAAAAGCGTCCATGTGATAAAAAGAAAGAAGGCATAAAAGTAGGAAGAGGACTTGTTAAAAAGATGGATTTTGGTGGAAGAGAGAGGAAGAAAGAAGGTAATGGAGATAAGATGATTAAGAGTAATTATGTGAATACATAAACCATAATAATTAATTATCAAAATAATGTGGTGATCTCATGTTTCTTTGTTGGATAAATGAGTGGTTGGTCAGGAGCACCAGCAAATTTGAAACCAAGGCCATTTTGATTAGGTTGTCTCTGACATATCCATCAAAAATCAAAATGAATTATGCAGTTGAATAAAAAAACCTGTATACCAAAAGAGCTCAGCTAAACTATGGTCTCAGGAATGAGAAGTGATTATATTTCTTATTGTAAGTGAAGACTAAAACCTTAAAAGGTCAAGAACATACAGTAAGTTTAGAGAAAAATCAGAACACAGAAGGCTGCTTCGAAAGGAAAAATAACAGGAGGAAGTGTTGTAAGCATTTTTGAGAGAGAAGAATGAATATGACATTGGGTGGGTAGGAGGTGGGGAGGATCTAAAAGGAGTTGTTGTGGGAAAAGAATGTGATCAAAATATATGAAAAAATAAAAATAATTTAAAGAAACTTAGGAGGGGAAAAACAGGCCTTTGACATTATAAAATGCCAAGACATATAAAATAACAACTGAAAAGCATATATGGGATTCAAAAATAAATAATAATTAGCAATTTTCACGAAAGTATTTTCAGTTAAGTAGAAGAAACTAAAATCAACTTTTAGGAAAGACATTAAATAGCATGTTACACACACAACACACACACACACACACACACACACACACACACACACACACACACGTTTATTGTCTCTATCCCTGGAGAAACCTACTCTACTTCAGATTGCTCAAAATGAAAACCAATATATGATGATATATTGCATCCAGCAGATGATCCATTCAGTTCTCTTGATGTCAGTGAAACAAAGTTAACTGTTGTTATAGATAAAAAAAATTTAACGTTTCTCTGGGTTTTTCTCCCCTTTGAGTGAAATTATAAAATGCTGCTTACAGGTGGGTTGAAAAACAACTGCAGCAATCAGAAGAATCTCATCAGAATTCTAGTTATGGTGCATTAAATCAGCTGCTAACCCTCTCAACTTCTCAGGTTCTTGGCCTCCACAAGAGGAAGTTTGATAATCATTTTTACTCTTGGAGCTGGCTATTTGAGAGATTAAATGGTATTATGGATATGAAACACTTATGCATATAGGGCAATAAGCCTCAAATCCACAAGAGATAAATTTAAAGGAAAATCACAAAAGGAAATATTCTACAATCACTCAGCCACAGTTTCCATGAAACTGACAATGTTGTTTCTCAATTTCAACAGATTTTGATAGTTGATGAGTCAGCAGAGTAATAACTGATCCCAGGGAGTGGCTTTCCAGCCATGGACTTCTCCAACCATTGCACTGTGAGGGTATAAAAGAGACACAACATTGGAGGGCCAGTCACCATCACTTCCCATAGCAGCACCAGAGAGAAGGAACTGAGCAGAGAGTTTAAGGTAAGAAGGTCTGAATGATCACTGTAAGCTATGACTATATATCTCCTCTAGGAGACAGATGTTATATATGCATATTAATCTTTAGAAATTGTAAATTATAAACAATCAGAATTGAAACCTTTAAACCTATCATGGAACACCTGCTTGAACTGATAAACAGTAATTGGACAGTCATTTTGTATATTTCTGTTTGTAAACACTTCTTTAAAGACCACCATTTTTCTATGGTAAGGGTCTGTCTTAAGTGTGACCACGAAGGAATCTTTGCAAGGCTGGGGCACTGATGCAGGGGAATAGATCAAGTTCTTCCTTTTGAACTGTGTGGACCAAGTCAGCAAAGATCTCAGGAATTCTGTGGGTGCAACAAATTACCACTTTTGACCATGCCACGTGTAATAGTGAAAGCCTTTAGTCCTAGCACTTGGGAGGCAGAGGCAGGTGGATGGATCAGTGAGTTCTGGGACAGGCAGAACCACATAGTGAGACCCTGTATTGACAAAAAAAAAGAATTACTACCTTGTTAGTAACCTCCTGTTTCACCTTTGAAGTATTTATACCACATTCTATAAAATATCATGTTGACTTTAATATAAAATTACTTAAATTCTCTTTTCCTTTAATGTTTGAATGGAATTGATGGTAAAGGAATATGCATCTGATTCGTTCATGACACAAGACTTTTAAACATGACAATATACTGCTACAGTTTGAGGAATAGGGGAAAAAAAGGTTGTTGATAATTATGGTGTGTAGCCATTACAAAACACAGAAGGAGTCTGTAATGTGGTTTATCTCTCTGTTCAATGAAATTTCAAATGATCATTGAAAACCATCCCATTATATAAAACCCTCTACAATTACATTCTCTTCAAAACTGTTTCCCCATTCTGTTCTTCTATATGCTCTCAACATTTTGTAACTTCTGTGTAGTATATACCACATGCTGTTTTACATTACAAAGACATTATCTGTCTCTAACTAGATTTTACCTGAAATAACTCAGGCTTTATTGCTACATCCTTGAGAGTGCCTAGGCTTATAAAAAGAAGGTAGAAGTGTATATGTGTACGTGAGTGGCAGGGCTGCTGATTTTAAGCTATTGGTTTTCTAAACTGACAGTCTGCTGTTAGAATGCTAAACTTGCTGTGTGGTGGTGGTGCATGCCTTTGATCCCAGCACAAACGAGGTGATCCCTGTGAATTCAAGGCCAGCCTGGTCTACAGAGTGAGTTCTATAGCCAGGGCTACACAAAGAAACCCCATTTCAAAAAACCAAAAAACAACAACAACAAAAAAAAACAAATAAAGAATGCTAAACTTGACAAAACTTTCAAATTCCTGTCTTCAAACTCATCAATCATCTCCGGCTAACTCTTGGTACTTTGTAGATTCTAATTTAGATTTTTATTGACATGATGAGAAACAAAGAGTTCAAAATGTGGCAACATTTTTTATATTTTATTCTTCTCTTTTATAGGTACATAGGAAAGTTCAGTGAGTGATAAAAAATGTTGTGGAATGTCCATTATCTCAATGTCACTCAAAAATGATGTTAATGACACAGGAAAATTAACATTTCCCCAATATAAAACATTAGCTATTCTTCAGAAAACTGTATAATGTATTAACCAGTAACAGTTTAATCAATGAGATCTGGAAAATAGCATTCATAAATATATGAACAGTTACTTTTAAAGAACTGATATAATGAAGTCATGAAACTGCAAATCTCCTCTGTGTTTATTTTTCAAAGGTCACCCACTAATAAACAGACAATATAACTGCAAATGACTGGCTAAGTTTGGAGAGCTGTTAGTTACATACTCTGTACCAGAACTGTATCTTCTGAATTTCTATTAATACTCAGTCATTTTTCTGATGTCTAGGATATTCTGAACAAGATGAAAGCCCTCCTCCTGCTCTCTGTCATCCTGGCAGTAGCATCTTGTCTCCCAGTGAGTACTCCTCTAATCTCTATAGAGTGTTTATGAATATTTGTTATGAGTCCTGAGTCTCCATGATGTTATTAGTATCTCTGCACATTTTAGTTGATAAAGATACTGAATACCTACCTGCAGCATCATATTTCAGAAATGTCAGATGCTCCTCAGTACACAATTTTATTCCATGTAGTTTTGTGTAATAAATGTAGATATTTAAAAATAGAGTGTTAGAAATAGGAGTATCACCCAGTGCTACAGAACTTACCTAGTGGTTGTCTTAGTTTAGTTTCTATTGCTGTGGTGAACACCATAACCAAAATCAACCTGGAAAATACAGGGTTCATTGCAGCTTATAACTCTTAAGTCACAGTCTACCACTAAGGGGTCAGAGCAGGAGCTAAGGACAGGAGCAGGAGGCTAGAACTGAGCTGAGGCCAGAGAGAGATGTTGCTTACTGATTTTCTTCTCATGATTTACTCATCATGCTCTCTCACCCAACTTAGGACCACCTGATCAGGGGGAATACGCACATAGTGTCTGGGCCCTTCCATCAATAACTGAACAAGAAATGCCCCCACAGACTTGCCCAACAGAAATCTGATGGGGACACAATTTCAATTGAGATTCCTCCTCTCAGATAAATCTAATTTGTGTCAAGTTGCCAAAAAACAAAAACAAACAAACAAAAAAAACCTAATACACTAGCTATGAGAATCCCAAGGGTTGACAGCTGATCCTCAGCACCACAAAAAGAAAAGACAAGAATGATGCATGGCAACATTTTTCCAGAACATTGTCTCTACATCATCTGGATAACCAAGTCCTATACTTTAATGGACAGCATGAAACAGTTTAGACAGTAGTTGAATTATTTCTCACATATATATGTATGTATTTCTCATGTATTTTCATCAGCACAGGTTAAATTAATTTCACTGTTTGACCTCTAGGTGCCCCAGGAACAGGAACGAGAAAAACGAAGTGTAAGTTGCTTTCCATCTTTATGTGTCAGGATTCTGTATGAGACAATCACAGCTGTGCTTAAAACACATTTACTCATGCAAACCTCTCAGCCTCTGCAGAAATTCTCAAAAGTCTTTGGGGTATTAGCATGAGACACAGATATAGAGTTTGATTTTTGGAGGAATACTTGAATTTAGCACAGATTTATTGATTAATACATGTCTATACAGAGAGAAATATCTTTACATCTCATGTAACATGACATGCAGATTTGATTATGAATCACTCTGTGACAAAGAGGGCACACAGCCCAGTTACCTAAAACTTCCTGCAAGGCTCCACCTCTTAAAGGCACCCCTTTTCAGTCATATCAAGATAACAACCAAGTCTTTAACAGATGATCCTTCTAGGAACATTTGACTTCCCATTTCAGATAGTAGCAGGCTAGCTGTGATGACCAAAGTAGGAAAAATTCAGTGAAACATTATTTTGGTACAACAGACAAACAAACCAAGAAAATTAAAGAAATGTTTTAAAAAGTGTGTATGTATACTTTTAATACATATAACATTAGAGAGAGAGAGAGAGAGAGAGAGAGAGAGAGAGAGAGAGAGAGAGTTGTGGAAATCTTGTCAACTCAAAACCATTACTCAACAAAGGGCTAAAAATGAAAATTTTCCTTTAATTTGCATGACTTAAGGACTAACTTGGGAATGAAGAAATGACAGATATACATACAGAAATGTTAGGATTGAATAGGCCATGTGCTCCAATGGATATGCACCAGCAGCAGCCTAGACACTCAGCACTCTATTATATACATCAAGGACATGGGTTAGCTAATGTCAGCAAGAATTCCCTGTATGGGAATAGTCTTCCATTACAATCAATGGGAAGGAGGAAGCTCCATTTGGTACTTTCTGAACACACTGGTTTTAGCTAGCCGGATACATTGTACACATTTCACAGGTGGGTAGGGGAAGGATTAGCCATTCTTCTAAGCCTGACTCTGGTTTGCCATTCCCATGGGTCTGAGATATTGGGGTCCACTGGGTGGTGGTGGTGCATGCCTTTAATCCCAGCACTCGGGAGGCAAGAGGCAGGCAGAGCTCTGTGAGTTCGAGGCCAGCCTGGTCTACAGAGTGAGTTCCAGGAAAGGCGCAAGGCTACACAGAGAAACCCTGGCCCCGAAAAAGAGAGAGAGAG